TTTTTTTTTTTTTTTTGGTGGTATAGTGGTTAAGGTATATGGCTACTAACCAAAAGGTTGGTGGTTCAAACACACCAGGTGCTCTGCGGAAGAAAGACGAGGCAATCTGCTTCCATAAAGATTTGCAGCCTTGGAAACCCAATGTAGTTGCTATGAGTTGGAATCGACTCAGTGGCAATGAGTTTGGTATTTTTTTGGTGTAGCATGTATATGGAGAAAAATCACACAATTAACTGATGGGTTTAAAATAAGATTCTTGCATTTCACTCTCTTACACAAAAATAAACATATTAAGAATTAAATGCCACACAAAAAAAGAAGAAAACAAAAGAAAGAAATTGTAAGACTAAAACAAGAACACATGTGAATTTATCTGACCATGTCATGAAGAAAGTCTTCTTAATAATTATAGCACTAAATGAAGAAAAACTCCATAAAAATTATGCATCTATAAAAATAAAAATTGTACACGCCAAAACAGAAACTGGTTAAATATTTACAACAAACATTACTGTGCACAGTTAATATTTTAAATACATAAACATATCTTATTTAAAAAAGGAACACTTCAGAAATCACAGTCAAAACTCATAAATAAGCAATTCTAAATAAAAAAGTACAAAAGCTAATAAGCAAAAATTCATTATCATTAGTAAAAGTATGAGGTTTATAACATTTTTGCCTATAAATGTATAAAAATTAAAAAATATGATAATATGTAATATTGGCAAGGGAATAAGTAAGCACTATTGTTACAAATATAAATTGATCTCACCTTTCTAGAAAACAATAGGATAATATATATCAAAATTCTATAATTTTACATTTCCTTTCCTACATGGCTCTACTTCTAGAAATTTATATTAAGAAACTAATCATGGATAAGCAAAATATTTAACTCCAATTTGTTCATAAAAGCCTTGTAAATAATGGTGAATAATGAAAACTAACCTTAGTTAGTAGTTAATAAACTACTACACTAGTTTATTTATGAAAAATACATGTAAAGATAATGTACAGTAATATTTATGGATGAAAAATTTCATAACATATTTAATGAATTAGAGAAAGTATTATATTTTTGTGAAAATATAAATTTTCAAGAAAGATAAAACATAAATTCCTTACCATTATCTTCTTTTTCTTATAGTACTTCTGTAGAAATTCCTTGTGTGTTTTCAACTGTCCATAAGAAACTTCAAAAAAAGGAAAATTCACAATATTTATATATATCCTTTTAAAATGAAGAGAAGTTTAAGTACTTTAAAGAAATACACATGAAACTATTAAACGTGATCAACTAGCTATTTTGATAAGCATAATGCTAGACACACTAAGATGAATGAATTATTGGTACTATTATATTTTCTGTTTCCTTTTGTTTTTCTGAAATGTCACCTTCTAACTTAAATATCTATGTTGTTGTTAGGTGCCATTAAGTAGTTTCCAACTCACAGAAACCCTATGTACAACAGAATGAAACACTGCCTGCTCCTGCACCAATCCTCCCAATTGTTACTATGCATAAGCCCATTGTTGTAGTCACTGTATCAATCCATGTTGTTAAGGCGCTTCCTCTTTTTCAATGACTCTCTACTTTACTGGGAACTCTGGTAGTGTAGTGCCTAAGGCACTTGACTGCTAACCAGAAGGCTGGCAGTTCAAACCCACCAGCCACTCCTTGGAAGGAAGGTTGGGCAATCTA